CGTACGTGTATGCAATGATTTTAGGCGAATTAAACCGTACGAGTCTCGTTCCCTTTTAGCATCCTTCCTTTGATAGCCGATCATCTGTCATTAATTCGAGTAACGGCCGAGTTTCATTAACACGTAGAGTGGAGTTAATGGTGATTGGCATTCCGCTTCGTAGACTTCGTTTACAATGAATGTTCGTAAGATTTAATTTCTACTATACTTTGTTATATCTTTTCCAAGAACATTGACATATTATATGCCGCACACACACACATACAATTTTTTGTTCTTTTCTTAATAATTAAAATATTCATGATAGGTAGGTATGTTGATGTTATTTACTTTTAAAATATTTTCTCATTTATTTCATTGTTATTATTTTAAAATCATCCCTAATGATAAAAGTTATTATTAAATAGTGGTCTATATAGTTTCACGTTTAGTATCTTTATTAGTGTTTATTCACTCATGGTGGCGAGTCCAATGGACTTGTGAAATTTATTGCAAACAGGGAGAATCGACAAAGTCCAAGGAGCGAGTATGGCCAAAGGAGAAAGTAGATATGTAATCAACGCTAATTTTCCACGTTAAAGTCGTCGGAGGTGTGTCAGATACCGCTTATTATGGCCGCAATCTTAGATTCGCCATTTTCTATTATTACCGGGTAATAAATTTCGCAAACAATCGTTCACGTCATAGAGAGAGAGAATGTGACCGTGCGAGAAAGGAGCTAGACGAAGATTACCGATGCGGAATGCAGATAAATCCACAAGAATAACTGCAATTGGCATAATAACTAATTATCGATCGATATTCTCGGATAATATTTTCCTAGAATGAAAAGGGTTAGTGAGGCAAGGCGAATGAATAAGAATAATAACATGAATGTTCAATTTGAAAAAATAAAGGAATCGTGACTTATTTTTACATTAATGTATACATTATCGGCCAAAATTTTGGAAGCACTTGCTGATTTCCGTAGAAATCTAGTACATATATATATATATCGATAAGTTTGAAACGATTTTTATAAATATTCAGTTGAATTATGTTTTAACAAATTTCAGTATTTTTTCAATCTCCATAATGCTCCTATACAGAATTTATAAATTCGGCTTAAAGTAATGCTAGGAATTAACTAGGCTTTCGTTCAAAATAAAGGCGGTTTTTCGATGAGAGGACAATATGATAAAATATACTTATTATTCTATAAAAAAAAATAATACAAAATGTAATATATACTAAATAAGAAATTTTATGGAAAATAAATCTGTCTCTGTTACTCTAATGGTTTTCACATTTTCTCTTATAAATATACTATTTATCTGAATTTAAGAGTAATATCAATTCCAAATTTGTGTATGTAAAACGAGTTACGATAGTATTCGTACCACTACTGTAAATTTATATAATATATATATCCTTTTAAATATAAAATCAAACGACACGAAATATAATTAACGCATGATTAAACCAAAAATAATGCGCCGGCACCCATTGTCCAGTGCATAGCTTTTACATAACGTCGCTATGTAAATGGACAATGGGTATCAGCGTAGCAGTCAATGTGTTAATGAAAGATAAGTAGATTATTAATGCGACGTTAGTCAAAGAAAAAAGTAGGACGAAACGAAAGAGACATATGCGAGCAATCTGGCGATACAAACCGGACGGTATTAACGTTACGATTTCGTGAAGTTTCGATAAGCACGTGTCTTATCATTTGCTTTCGCCTCGGATTAAGAACCACCAATTCCATTGGATCAAATCCCATCAATTTTATCGATACACACTAGTAGTAGTATCATAAATGTGAATTAGTGATTTAAATGCAACATATTTTGTAATACATATGGAAAATATATATGGGTAGTACCACGTATGTTTATATGAAACAAGGAAATAATTACAATGTCTAGGAATTTTAAATTCGCTCCCTCATTTTCTTCCATTTTTCATCCATTTTTCTTCCTTTTTCGTTTCTTTACGACGCATCGAGTTACTCCCACCCTTTCCTGCCGCCTGTTTCCTAGCCATTTATACCCTCTTATATTCGCCACATTTCTGCAAGAAGCGTGTCTCGTATTATGCAAATTTCCGTCATTGCTTTGACTTGCTCTCTTCTACCTGCTCGAATTATACCGGATATGACGTCATAGCGTGAAGCATTAAACCTACCGCATGGTGGACAGTATAATTAATATATGCCGTGCAGATCGTAGGTACTAGCAATTAGTTTAATGCCGCATTTACTGTCGCGACGCAACTTAATATAGTAGACTTGATCAATATTGGCCAGATATTTTTTTTCTCCCGTTTTTATTTTTATATGTTTATAATTAATTGTACGAAATTTCTTTCTTTCTCTCTCTTCTTTTTTTTTTTTATTCATATTTGTTGATTTCCATTCTCGAAATAATTCTTCCAAAATTTTGATTAATTCGTAACGAGCGAGCAAATATGAGAGGAAGTGACAAAAATTATCAATGACTTCTCGAGTAGAATAGATAATCTAATAAACTTTGTTCATTTACGTCGGGGGGGGGGGGGGGTGAAGAAAGAATCATGACAATTTTGAACGATAACCCAAGTCTTTTGATTATTATTAGGTCAATCGATGAAGAGAGAAAAAAAGAGAAAGAAATTCTTTCTTATATTTTTTATCCAACGAGACACCTTTCGTTGTTGCCTATAATGTACAGTCGTTAATTACAATCTTCTCGACGATCAAGATAAGATGTCGATAAAAAACTGACACGTGGAGATTACGAACTCGTTTCTCTGTCTTTCTCTTTCTTTTTTCTATCTTTTATTAGATCTCTCTTATAAATATGGATCGGCTATGTCGATCGTAAACCAGATCAATAGGAGTAAAAACGTCACAAAACATTAAAAGTTAATTTATACTCGTATTTATATATATATATATATATATATATATATATATATATATTACCGTGAAAGACCGAAATTGGAAAATGTCAAGATTCATTCACATGGTCGCTTGGTATATGTCCGAAATATTATTGGGTTGGCAACTAAGTGATTGCGGATTTTGTCGATAGATTATTATTAAAATAATCGCACTCATTTAGTTGCCAACCCAATATCTATAATCTATAAAAATAAACCCAAATATTCGGTCATTCACCGACGCATTTGGTATGTTTTGACACATTTCACCATCTGAATCTTAACATTCTTCAATTTCCGATCTTTCATGGACAACATATAAATTATCTCTCGATTATTAGATAAAACAAGTGTTTTTAGAAGAATGTTCTTCCATGATAATCGCTACGATTGCCGAAGGAAAAGCATTCTTTGCTTTTCGATAATAAATTTTAGAATTTTATTTAATGCTTAGACAAAAAACTGCTAGTAGATCGACTCAAGTTAGGTATCAATAAAAACGAAGAAGGCTAATATGTTATTCCATAATCGTGGCTGACCATGTGATAACTCGCATAAATATTTCACGATTTCGAGAAAAAGAAAAAAGTAAATAACATTGAGTTTATGTATCATACAGGGATCGCCTGGCAACAAGTAGTAAAATTATTTTAGAACAGTTACGTATTCGTTCCACTGGTTAGTGACACGGTTATCTTAATTACTACTACTAATACCACTGTCACAACTACGACATAATCAATCATACTACTACCATTACTATTTATTATTACTATTGTTATTATCACTCTTGCCATTGATAATGTTATTGCAAAGATGTGTCAGGGTTATCGCTTGCAACATTGCCGCGAATTTTTTACCCGCCAAAAGAAGGCCAACTCGAAAGATTATGGGAACTCGGTGAGAGTGAGATGATTAAAGTCAGAAAGAATTGTTGTATCACTTTTTTGTCTCTTTCATTCAATGACATGATTAAATAAGAAAGATATATTTATGTAACTTTTACACGAATTTATGTTTTAATTAATTATTACATTTTCGTATAAAACTTATCTATACAAAAATATTAATTAACATACGATCATCCAAGTATATTAAACATAAGTTAGGGGTGTTCTAAGCAATACTTCTATTGCAAACTCTTTCCCTCTCTCTGTCTTTTTTTTTTTCTCTTTTTCTTTATCTCTTTCTTTTTTCTATATTCTTAATACTCGAAGAATGAAAGAGAGATCTAATTTATTGCAAGACAGGAATACTTACTTTGTATAAATGTATATATGGACAAGTGAGTAGGAACTACGTTAGCATCGGGTTTTCTCGCCACGTAAGCTAGACGTATACACAACGTGACCTCGAGCTCACTATCACTATCGTACCGTGATAAGCCGACGACCGTGCAAAATGCAATCCTTCTTTTTTGAAATGGTTGCTTCAACGGTGAGTTGATACGAGTTCATCGCGTATAACTGTATCCATAACTTCTTTTCCTCTTTTAAATCCGTTAACTTGTATAATCATTTCATTGATTCGACGATTCGTCATGCTAGAAATTATTCTTAAAAGAATATACGTTCACTGATGTCTTAATGAAAGAATTTCGTTGACAGTTTTGTTCATAGACATAACATAACGAGCAATGGGAAATATTTTACACAACCATACACGTAATATAAATGTATACATATATATATATTAGATTACTCGTATCACGATTAGCATAGATTTATTTAAACTGCATCAGTGTTAGAAAAATAGATTTGAACAAATGTATAAGGAAGTTGCATAAATTAATTATTATCATTATCATTTATGATATTAACGCATATACGCAAATGAAAGCTTAAGACAAAATATTATTTTATTGAAATAGTAACACTAAATAATAAGAAAAAATATAAATGATCATTCGTATGTGAGAATAAAGATTGACTCTGATTCGTTTGCTGTAAATCGTGTTATACGTTTGTACACATTTATTAACAACCAATGAAACAAACTAGCTAAGAGTTTATTTTACCTAAGTTTTAATTACATAATGAAAGATAATAAAAAGAGAGAGAAAAAAATTAACAGGATCAAAGTGAATGTTTACATTCCAGGTCACCTGATTACACGAAAGGCATCTTCCAGAGCATCGGCTTCAAAGAGTTTCATGATTACCTCATCTTACCAGAAGAGGAGAGGGCAAGCAAGAAGGTAAGTAAAAGACGTTGGCGTCCATATCTTCATCAACGTGATGTCCGTTGCAGCTGCTCGACTGCCGGCTACTACGTATAATCATGCGTGATTCTCGCTTTATGTGCCGTCATCGAAAAATTCATCCGGGTTGTTTTTGATGATAAGTAGTAGTAGTAGTATTATTACTGGTAGTAAGACTGGTAGTAAGGCTGGTAGGCAGCTGCTACTTCTTTCTTGAATATTTCCTTAATAAAGCCCTTATTTTGTTTTTCTTTCTTTCTCTTTGTTTCTACCTCGAAAAATTAACTCGACAACATCTTGTTACAATAACGTCTTATATAATTCTATCTTATATTTGTTTCAGGGAAAAATACTGCTTGAACAAGGTCTTGATTGTTTGAAATTGGTTACGAAAAGATATGCTAACACCCAACAGAAATGGATCAGGAATCGTTTTTTACGTCGAGTCGATAGACAGGTACACCTTATTTTGCGTATTTTATGTATTTAGTTATTTTTTATTTTCCTTGTACTTACCGTTATTCATGTACCTTTATGTATGTTTACGAATATATCAGGTTCCACCGTTGTATGAATTGGACTGCACTGATTTGACTCAATGGGAATCTACTGTTTATGATAAGGCAGTCTCGATAATTTCTGCAGTATTACGTGGTGAGAAACCCGAAGAAAGACCTATCAATGAGAATATCAAGGATCAGAAAACTAGTGATAGCAGTAATGAATTCCAAAATTATTGCGAGGTAAGTAGGCAGCTATAAATTTTATTAATTTCACAATTAATTAATGTTTCCTTTTTATTTATTTCAGATTTGTGACAGAATATTCATTGGTAAGTTGCAATGGAATGCGCATATAAACGGATTTAAGCATCAAAAACATCTGCGACGTAAAAGAAAAATGGAAGTACCAAATTCGGAAAAAAAAGCAAAATCATCATAGATGGATATCTAATTTAAATAATACGATATTATATATATATATATATATGATGTTCAAAAAACATTATTCAATATTTCTACGGTACATAAAACACATTATATTAAGTTGGTAAATAAGTTTCAATCAATATAGGTCAAAAACTCAACAGTTTCTGATATATCAATAGTTTTTTATGTTAGTATCATGAATATGTTAAGAATATGTCAGGCATTTATGAAAATGAAAAGGAGGACATATAAAATAGTTTCTATAAATCGAAAACTAGCATTAAATCAACTATAATACTAACATACAAAAATATTTGAATCTCAGAAACGATTGACATTTCGAATTATGTCTACTGAGACTTTTTTACTCAGTACAGTATAATCTATGCTATTATAAATATTGAATGTTTTTTTTTTTAACATCCTACATATATATCAATAAGTGTATGTTTAACAGACTGTAAAGAGAAAAAGTTTATATATTTTCTAATGAAAGTGTTCAACAACAGTCGATAAATTAGATTGTTATTTTATCGATATGAAATAATGTAGTTTTATTTTGCATATTATTGTATCATACGATGCTTATGCAGAGAACAGTCCGTTTTAATAATTTTTAACGAAAAATTGCGATATAGATGTAGTATACAAAATAATAGTGAAAGCAATTATCGAGAGATATTGTGTATCTACTGTTGGTAAAATTTCCTCTGTGATAATAGGATCTTAATAATTTTTTTTTCAGAATTAAATGATACTTTAACAGTCATTATTAATCAAAATCTGAAAAAAATTATTCAATAATTACTTTTACAAGATTTACAATCGCTTGACAATAATTTTAGTTGTGAAATTTGTTTTTTTAGGTTTCTATTTCGTTGAATACTTACAAATATTAATGAAACTTTTAATTGTAACGAAAAAGGTATCGTTTATTTTGATTAAATAATTACTTTTCTATTAATTAAAATCTAATTAAAATCTTTTTCTAAAATTTATTGATATTAATATACATATTTTTTGTCGAATTTTTTATTGGCTTTTAACTAAATCTTTTTTATGTACCTTCATACAGTTAATAGTTTATATAACATTTTTTCTTTATATTTTTTATATGATATACAACTCCAAACGTTTCGTCTATGCGCCTAATACGAAGTTTAATTACAGAGGCACAGGTGTGCAGCGCTCAGCCACTTTACTATTTCAATTAACGTAAATTCACAGTTTCCATTGCCTTTGAAACTGTTTTCAGTTTCTGTGGAAAATGTCGGATCCTAATAGCGAATCTACGATGAATTGAAATTCGCAACACATTTCGAACATGTTCCACATGTTCTCGTTCTATTCAGTATTGTCTGCATCTCTATGGACTATGGAATATTTACTAATGTTCTGTTTCATAGCAATTTAGATTAATAAACAAAAAAATACATTTATCTAATGTTTCAATAACTTTTAATGGTCTAAAGTTGGATCAATGTTACCAAGTTATTTTGTTTACTATGTTTTCGGAAGGAATTCTGCTATTCTTTTATTTCTTGTTTAAGTATATGGTATAATGATTTTTAAATAAATTTAATTGTTAAATTAAAAAGCGGAAGATCAGGTTTGAAGTCCCGATTAAGTCAACCTAATAGCCCAATTTTTTTACGAATTGTTCATAATTATTATTATTATTATTATTATTATTATTATTATCATTACATTAGAAAAATATTGATACTCTTAATATTATGACGTTGAATGTGTTTTTCAGGATTATTCTTAGAAAATAAAAGTTATACATAATGGCATGTTACTATCATTCATCTATGAGTGCCATTTTTTTGACATCAGATTCAATTTTGTACAATCCACTAAAATATTCAAAACAAGAAAATCAATGTTAATATAACGCTTGTTATTGATTGTCCCTGTTGTCTCATGCAATTTTTGTTTAAAAAATTTTTCTACTACTATCATACTTTCGAAGATATTTTAGGTGGCAATAATTAGTGCCTCACCCTGTATAGGAAAATTACATGACACTTACATAATTTTGTATGTTACGGTTATATATATATATATATATAGAAAATAAAATTTATTCAATATACACGTAATAGTGATATTCTTGCGTATATACAGCATTGGAAACACATTATTGCGTAAACATTAATAATATGACATCATAACAGCATGGTGGATAAATTCCAAAGAACAGTATTATATTAATCTAATTGAATTCAACAACTTAGAACCATTGGAACGATCTTTAGGCATACAGCAAGGCTTACGATTCGCGAAACTCGATATTGACGACAAAGGGATTATTGTGCATATATTGTTTGAATCCATATCAATGTGGATTCGATTCACGAGCAGTCGACTGTGTTAACATGCATGGTTGTTAATAATCCTCGAATTTCGTGTGATATGAATATAATCACTCCGAATCGAATATATATAAAGTTTATCAAAGAAATCGGATTTGTAGAGTTAGTCAAAGGAATAATTAAAACTTTAACGCGATAAAAATATTTCGATGTTCGTTTAATATTGAAATGTGCCCGTAGGAAAGTTTTCAATGATCGATCGATCGAATTTATAAGCATGCGTCGATGTCGCAAGTCGATACGTTTTGCTGTCACTTCCTAAGGTCGTTGTTTTCTTCCGAACGTCGAAACACACCTCATTAAATGCCGAATATTTTTCGATTTCCTCATGTGAACTCTTTGGTAATTTGATTCATAGTAAATAGGCGTGGTAATTTATTCTAGGGTTTAATATGTCCATGAAATTTGACGGCGGTGACTGGTAAATTTAATCACTTGTCGTATGATTCATTAAAACGACTTTTAAATGGCTTTCAAAAATATTTCTTTATAAATTTTATTGTACAATTTTGTTTTTTGTTTTCCTGTTTTTTTTTTCTTCACAAAACAGATGTTTTTAATAAATTTTAATAAAGAAATTTTTCTCAAACACAGATATTTTCCAACATACTTCATTAATAAACATAATAAACGTATTGTTTCAACGTTAGAAAAACAGACACATGTCATTAATTACTGGATTCGCTAATTTATTCTAATTATATTTCTTATCTATAGGCGATAGTATTACACAGAGAGAAAATTGTTTCCAAGTGTCTATCGCAATCATACGTTTGTGTGGGATCGATCGAAGCGTACCCTTGCACTTACTGTGTCGCGGTAACTCGAATGCCAAAGTTCATCGTTCGAACGTAAAGATGAATGGACGGGGTCGGATGAATGAACGAACGTGGCTAGCGAGAAAGAGAGATAGAAAGTCAAAGGAGTGGAAAGACGGGTTTGCTTCTCATTGCGGGGCGACGTTTATCGCCATGTAAACGAATGAAAGAAGAGGAAACCGCTTTTATCGCTACGAAACCGTCACGTCCGCTTTCGATGTGCCAATCATTCCTATCGTTTAGCGCGAATCCTCCTCCGGCTATGACTAATTTCTTAACATTTGTCTTCCGACAAAGATATTGGACTTAAATATTTTTTTTTAATTCAATAATCTCGATTGATTAAATTATATGATTTAAATTACACAAATATTAGATACATTTTATTAGTTTAATAATTACTACAGAGAAATATTAGTGGTATGATTAGTAATTTCGTAGAAAATTTTATTTTAATTATGAATCTTATGTGTGCTTAGTTACGTTAGGTTTAGTTGTCAGTGGTATAAACACGACAGTTTTTCAGTACATTATACAATGGCACCGCGAAAAGTATTCAAAAGTAAATTTCTTGGAGATTGGATCGATCGTGGCAGTGTAATCAGCTGGCCATTTCACTGTCCCGTTTTTATTTGATTCATTAATGAGCAATTTTTTCTTAACCGTTTACACGAGTATATTGTGACTGATAAACGCCATCTTAAAAATCATTTTAATATTGATAAATTATGTTTTTTTCTTAATGTTCCTTAGGTTCAGACGAAGTAAAATATATTTATTATGGTTTTTATATATCGAATTTGTCTAGGTATACGCAAAAAGATATATAGATGTAAAATAATAATAAATTTATTTCAAAAGAACTGTAGGTAATCTTGAAAATTCTGAAAAAAGATCGGCAAAAGTTTTAGTACAATCATCTTAAAGCTTTCTTTGAAACATAATATTAGAAACATTCTATTAGAACCGCTAGCGACGGAATGAATTATGATGACTATATATTTCGTGTTTCATTCTATATATTAATTTAAAAGTTAATTAGAAATAAAAATTAGATAATGGAAAGATTTATATAATTTATTTGTTAATAATATAACATCAAAGGAACGATAATTCTGGTGTCTATAAATTAATATGTTTGGAATAATAATATTTTTTAATATTTGTATCATATTTATCTTCGAGGAAATTTCTTTGAGTGCCGAGAAGATCCAAGCTACATATATCAAGTAAAAAATAATGCTAGAAAAGATCAGTTCTGATTACGTATTCAATATCTGACTTTATTTCTTACTGTCCCTTCTATCGTTCAGAATCAATCCTTCAGGTTTAATGCACCGTGAATTTAAAATTAAATAAAGCGCAGCGATGTGTATTAATCCGAAATGTCAGAATGGAAATCGAGATCAAAGAGAGATCAAAGTATCAGCGATCTCTTTTTAGAAATTCTATACGTGGATCGTAATCTTTCGTCAATTGTTAAAGAAAGAAATTAAAAAGATTAATATTTCAATTTTGGCGACGAAATATTGCAACAAATGTAATATAAAATATATATATATATAAATAAATAATTTTCTTTCAATTTATACACAGACTATATAAATAATAAATCTCATTTTCATTTTTTCACCTGAAAATAATATATAATATATATATTACCGTAAAAGACCGAAATTGAAGAATATCAAGATTTACGTAATGAAATGTCAACGCATACTAATATTCGTTGGTGAAAGACCGAATATATATTTGGGTTTATTTTTATATATTAAATATTTTTGATATACACCAAGTGATCATGTTAATACTAACATTCCCCAATTTCGATCTTTCACGGTAACTCATATGCCATCTTAATACGAGACCATAAGGGAAGAAACGACGAAGAAAATTAAAAGAATATCAAAAAATATTGAGAAAAAAGAACGAAATAACATAAAAATTAGATAAAATAAAACTGACAGTTGTACAAAACGTATTAAATAATTAAAATCCACGAGATTATTTTGTCGTCGTAACATAATCGTAATCTTCGTTAATATAAGTGCAGGTAATAGAGAAAAAAATTAGAAAATCAGAAAAAGATGAGTCACAGGAGATGTTCGATGATTAGAAGAGGTATGCTTAAGAGATATAGTACAACGAGAAAGAGAGAGAGAGAAAGAGATAAGGTATCGATAGTAGTCGCGAGATGGCGACGCACTGGCCGACGCCGGGCGTCGTTTGGGCGGCAGTCGCGCGTACGACGCCGTCGTCGCCACGTGGGGAGAAAATTTGAATCAGGCGCCATACAGTGGCCGGAGGCCGGCACATGAGCGCGAGAAAGTAAGTGCCGGGACGCATCGCGAGAAATCGAGACGGAAAGAGACAGAGACAGAGAGAGAGAGAGCGAGATAGGTGTTCTGAAGCATACCAGAGTGCAAGAGAGAGGGAGAGAGAGAGAGAAAGAGAAGGACATACAACGAGCTTAGCCATCTCGAGCGCCGTGCGATCATTCGCACTTGCCGGCTCGCGTTTCCGTCGTACGGATAAAGAGCTGTCGTGCGTCTGCTCAGAATTTTCCCCACGAAAAATATTTTTGAAAATACGATTTATTAAAAAAAAAGAAAAAAAAAACAATATATATATATATACATATATATAAAAGTCTGAAAAACAAGAGAAATATATATGTATATATATGTATATATATACATACATACATAAGAAAGAGGAGAAGAGAGAGAGAGAGAGGGATAGAAGAAAATAAAGAAAGAAAGAAGGCAAGAGTGACGAAAGAGAAGCCGTTGTCAGTGAGTGGCGAACCGTGGGACGGATTGGACACGGACTGCAAGTCCTTCCGCGAGTCCTTGAACTTCAATTCGTCGATCGATTCGATCGTTCAAGGAAAGGTCGAGAATCGAGGTGTACGTTTAAGGACTACGAAAGCTTGACCTCTCTTATAGACAAGAGCCGACCTTGGATATCAGTGTCGCCACCGTCGCTTTTTATTATTCGCACATTTTCTTCCTATTTTTTTTCCTCTAATTATTTCTCTTCTTTTTTTCCTGACATTACTCTCGATCCTATTTACACAATTGACATTCGTTATTTACCATTGAAAGCCATTCGAGGTATCGACAGAAGGAAGATAAAGAAAATTGTTTTTTCTTTATTTGTGCTCGTGTAAGTGATCCGAAGAAAAAGAAGAAGAAGAAGAGGTGGTGGAAAGAAGTATACGAAATTAACCATTTA